TTCTTTCTTAAGTTTAAATCTCTTGAATTCAGAAACACTAACATGGCCTCAGAGCCTGGTTGGATTTAACAATCTGGGCGTAAATCTGTGAAGTTGTCGAGCTCAATCGAAGCTCTCTTGAAACTCTGTGAAGGTTGTCGATTCAGATCAAAACCATGTCTGGATCTGGAGGCTCGGAAGTGAGGACTCCAATCTTCTCCGGTGAGAACTACGAGTTCTGGAGAATCAAAATGGTGACAATTTTCAAATCGCATGGGTTGTGGAATTTGGTGGAGAAAGGAGTTAAAACGTCGGATCCGAAGAAGAAGAAGTCTGAAGGATCGTCGGAGGATGATGGAGATGAAGAAATGTCAGCTGTGTTGATGCAAGACGCAAAGGCTTTGGGAATCATTCAGAATGCAGTCTCGGATCAAATCTTCCCTCGAATCACCAATGCCGAGTCAGCGAAGATGGCATGGGATTTGTTGTATGGAGAGTATCATGGTGGTGATCAGGTACGATCTGTGAAATTGCAGAATCTTAGAAGAGAATTTGAATATGCTAGGATGCGAGATGATGAGTCTTTGTCTAGCTATCTTACACGGTTGAATGATCTAATAAATCAGATGAGAACATTTGGTGAATCGTTGTCGAATGAGAGACTAGTGCAGAAGGTCCTGATAAGTCTTAGCAAACCTTATGATTCTATCTGTTTGGTTATAGAAAATACAAAGTGCTTAGAGACTGTGGAATTGCAGGAAGTAGTTGCAATCTTAAAGAGTCAAGAACAACGGTTTGATTTGCATATGGTTGATGCAAATGAGAGAGCATTCTCTTCACTCTCAGTGAATCCAAAGGAGCAGAACAAGAGTGGTGGTCATTCGAGTTCATCTAGAACTCAGAGAAATTGGAATTCTAAAGGCAAGAAATGGGAATCAAAACCCAAATTTCAGCAGAAATCTCCTCTGCACAATTATCAGAGTGCAAATGCACCTCAGTCTGTGGGTCAGGAGGTTGCAAAGCCTCAGTGCAAAGTGTGTTCTAAGTATCACTTTGGTGAGTGTAGATACAAAGGGAAACCAAAGTGTTTCAACTGTGATAAATTTGGGCATTGGGCTAGGGAGTGTAATGTAGGCAGGTCAGTGCAAAAGGCAAATAATGCAAGTCAACTGGAGATGACAGGAAATCTGTTTTATGCAAACAACACTGTCACAGAACCAAAGGTGAATGGAGAGTGGTATGTAGACAGTGGTTGTAGCAATCACATGACAGGAAATGTCGATTTGCTTGTTGAGGTTAGAACCAATGTAGCTGGTAAAGTCCAAATGCCAACTGGAGATCTTGTGAATGTTGCAGGAATGGGATCTTTAGTTATTGATACAAATAAAGGGAGAAAATATGTTAGAGAAGTAATGTATCTTCCCGGGTTAAAGGAGAACTTACTCAGTGTTGGTCAGATGGATGAACATGGATACTTCTTGGTGTTTGGAGGTGGAATGTGCAATGTGTATGATGGTCCATCACTAGAATGCTTGGTTATGAGAGTGAAAAAGAAAGTAAATAGGTGTTATCCACTGACTTTGTTCTCTGAAAATCAAATGGTGCTGAAAGCAAGTGTTACTCACTCCTCCACTGAGATTTGGCACAGGAGATTTGGACATCTACATTTTGGTGGTCTCAAACAATTGAGAGACAAGGAAATGGTACATGGTTTACCACAGCTTGCAGAGTACAATGGAGTCTGTGAAGGATGCCAATTTGGTAAACAGCACAGAGAAGAATTCCCTAGAAATCAGGTGTATAGAGCAACTGCTCCACTTGAATTGATTCATGTCGATTTGTGTGGACCTATGAAGACTGAGTCACTTGCTGGAAATAAGTATTTCATGCTGCTGATAGATGATTTTACCAGAATGATTTGGGTCTATTTCTTGAGATATAAGTCAGATGCGTTCAACTGTTTTAAGAAATTCAAAGCTATGGCAGAATTACAAAGTGGTTTCAAGATTAAAACATTGAGAAGTGACAGAGGAGGGGAGTTCAAGTCTGCAGAATTTGATCAGTTCTGTGAGAAAGAAGGTTTACAAAGACAGCTTACTCTTGCATATACTCCACAACAAAATGGAGTAGTGGAAAGAAAGAACAGAACAGTGATTGAAATGGCGAAATCTATGTTGCATGAGAAGAGGATGCCATATTTTCTCTGGGCAGAAGCTGTGCATACATCTGTGTATATTCTGAATAGATGCCCCACAAAGGCCTTAAACAACATTACACCTTTTGAAGCTTATTCTGGTAGAAAGCCAGGAATAGCTCATCTGAGAGTATTTGGATCTCTGTGTTATGTTCATGTTCCAAGTGAACAGAGACATAAACTGGAACCAAAAAGTCTAAAAGGAGTATTTGTGGGGTATGCAACTTGTGAGAAGGGGTATAGGGTGTTTGATCCATTATCTAAGAAGTTGTTCTTGTCAAGAGACATTGTGTTTGATGAAGAAGCTGTATGGAATTGGGAAGAGAACTCAGGGTCAACATTTCTTAATACTGGAAGTTTCATGCACAGTGATATAAGCACAGAGAGTAATGACAGAATGGTGTTGTCCCCTACATCACCTATTCTATCTCAGTCTAGAAGAACTCTTAATAGTGAAGACTATGAATCTGAATCAAGGTCACCTATCTTAGGTGAATCTTCAAGCATGTCAAATGCAATTGAAGGACAAAATCAAGCATTTGATAATACACCTTTGAAATGGAGAAATCTGAATGATGTATTGGCTCAATGTAATCTGTGTATCATGGATCCAGAGAAGTATGAGGATGCCAAACAAGATGAGTCTTGGTTAAAAGCTATGAAGGATGAGCTGTTTATGATTGAAAAGAATAGCACCTGGAAGCTTGTTGACAGACCAACTGAAAAGCCTGTCATAGGGGTTAAATGGGTTTACAAAACCAAATTAAACCTTGATGGTTCAGTGTTGAAGAATAAAGCCAGGCTGGTGGCAAAAGGCTATGCACAAAAGCCTGGTTTGGACTACAATGAGACTTATGCACCGGTTGCTAGGTTGGACACCATTAGAACCTTAATAGCTTTGGCTGCACAAAAGAGCTGGAAACTGTATCAACTAGATGTGAAATCGGCTTTTTTGAATGGAGTTCTACAAGAAGATGTCTATGTTGAGCAGCCTGAAGGTTTTGTAGTAAAAGGCAAGGAAGAAATGGTGTACAAACTTCATAAGGCCCTCTATGGTCTAAAACAAGCTCCGAGAGCTTGGTATGGAGAGATAGACAGTTATTTCTCACAGTGTGGTTTCAAGAAAAGCTTGAGTGAACCAACACTGTATATAAAAGCAAGGGGAGAGGATATTCTGATTGTCTCTATCTATGTAGACGATATTGTCTACACTGGCAATTGCAAACCAATGCTAGAAGAGTTCAAAGAAGATATGAAAATGAAGTATGAGATGACAGATTTAGGTCTCCTTCACCACTTCCTTGGGATGGGAGTGATACAAACTGATTCCTGCATCTTCATTAATCAGAAGAAGTATGCTAGTTCTTTACTGAGCAAATTTGGTTTAAATGAAGCAAAGACTGTCTCAACTCCTTTGGTAGCTACGGAAAAATTGTCTAAAGATGATGGAAGTGGATCTGCAAGTGATGAATTGTATAGGAGCATTGTGGGAAGCCTTCTATATCTCACTGCTACAAGGCCGGATATAATGTATGCAGCTAGTTTATTGGCAAGGTACATGCACTGTCCTACCAATAGACACTATGGGACTGCAAAGAGAGTACTCAGATACATCAAGGGAACTCTGGATTATGGCTTGGAGTATGTGAAAGGAAGAAAATCATGTTTAATTGGCTTCTGTGATAGTGATTGGGGAGGTTCATTGGAAGACAGCAAAAGCACATCAGGATATGCATTCTCCTTTGGCAGTGGTGTGTTCTCTTGGGCTTCTGTCAAACAAAACTGTGTGGCATTGTCCACAGCAGAAGCAGAGTACATAAGTGCATCCGAAGCCACAGCACAAGCAATATGGCTGAGATTTGTCTTGGAAGATTTTGGAGAATTACAAACTGTAGCCACTCCTCTTCACTGTGATAACACATCTGCCATTGCTATCACAAAGAATTCTGTGTTCCATCAAAAGACAAAACACATTGATAGGAGGTATCACTTCATTAAGGATGCACTGCAAGAAGGAATCATTGATTTGATATACTGTCCCACTGAAGAACAGATTGCAGATATCTTCACAAACCTTTGGCTAAGGATCGGTTCAACTTTCTCAGGGATATGCTTGGTGTGAAATCAGCTCAAAACTTAAAGGGGAGTGTTGAATTATAAGTATTTGAGCTGAAAAGTTTTTTAGAATAAGTTTCTGTTTTGAATTGGTGTATTCACTTGTGCAAATGAGGCAAAGTGTAAATGTCTAGTTTTGTAAAAAGGCCATGAGTGCCATGTGTTGAGTGATCCATGAGATTAGAAAGATGTGTGTCTAGGATGAAATGTAGTGTATGTGTGGTCCCAAGTGCTAGGCCATCAGTTATGTAAAAGCATGTGCTTCGTGTTTTTTCATTAACACAGAGAAATATTCCTCTGCAATTTGACAGAGAGAAGAAGAAAACTATTCATCTTCCATTGTGTTCTTCGGTTTGTTTTTGCTCTTAGTTAAGCTTTCTTTCTTAAGTTTAAATCTCTTGAATTCAGAAACACTAACAATTATACTATCTATATTCAGTTATAATACTTTCACTTGCGTATGATGCAATGAAATAGAATATTAGTTGAACTAGAAACGATTCTAATTATCCAAACATCAGCTTGGGTGCCACTTTAAATGTAGGAAAATTGAAAAAAAAGGATCTTTGGTTGCTGTTTTTGGATTTGACAATATTGGCTTCACTGTAAATTATAACAAACTTTAATTTCGATACATAAATGCACATATTTATATACCAACAATGTACATCTTACATTTGCAATTCACTATTTGAAACCCTTTCAGTCGAACAAGAAGTTTAGAGTCCAAATATGAAGATTTTGAGGCCCAAAGTAATCGGATCTCATGATCGAATTGGTGGTTTTCTAAGCATATTACTTAATGATATGGTGAGAAAATCGTTCAGTTATACTATCTATGTTGACTTACAGTACTTTCACTTTCATATAGTTGAATACAAGTCAAATAGAATATTAGTCGACTTAAAACCGATTCTAATTATTCAACGCAGAGCTACCTAATAATCTTACGTGTAACATACATATTTATTAAAACCGATTCTAATGTAATGCTGAATTATGTTTTTTACAACATCAGGTTTGGTTGCCACTTTAAATGTAACAAAACCGAAAAAGAATCATCAATTGCTCTTTTTTGACTTGGCTCCGGTGGCCTCGCTGTAAGTGAACAAACTTTTTTTATCGCAAATACTTTATTATTAATGCTTATATATGCTTTGTTTAGATTGCTGAAACTGCAAGAATTTTGTGCAGCGTCACAAATGACTCGGCTTGACTTCAATCCCAAGAGGTTTAAAAAAGGTATTTATGATGTTGTCATATTGATTCACCATGATTTAACAGGTAAAACTTGGAAATTAAACAAGCACAATCTCATATCAGGATTTAGTTTTGAATTTCTGTGCAGGTGCATTTGACCACATCACCAACAGCTACTACAACACGTTAGGGACAATTAAACAAGCACGTTGTAGAATCCATAAAAAATCATGTAAATTGTATATAGTTAGGAATTAGAAATTAGCTATTTTGATGGTGTACGTAGGCTCTTGATGAAAATCCAATAGAATCTAGATGAAACTGAAAGACTTATTATATCATGTGAATTAAGTTGCTTTGATTAATTTTGGAATTATTTAGAAGTGGTTTTGATAGATTGTGGGTTATGATTCCAAAACCCGCTGCGAAGCGCGGGCATTTTTGCTAGTGATAATTCTATTCATACCACAAAGGATTATTAATACAAGCATGCATACTTGACAATTAAAGATTTCTACAAATCAGAAATACAATCAAAATCAAGTTACAATATTAATTCCTAAACATTAAGAGAGATTATTTCCTTAGACAAGACTACTTCTCTAAGTAGCTACCATCCCGCATCACTGACAACAAACACTTCCACTTTGCATAGCAGATGGATTATTTATCATAACTAAGCGACGTTCCTGAATTACCAACCCAGTAAAGATCGAGAAAGCGTCATTGACGTAGTTCATTACCCCAAACCCTAATTGCTACATGCATACAGGGTGTCTGACCTAGTTAATTATTTTCTCAAGCTAACACACCACGGCAGAGTAATTACACAAACAAGAACATGATTTTGACCTGAAGAACATGCGCCGCAACCTCTTCGTCACCCAAATAAGAAACCGAATAGTGTGCATTATACCGACTATGCCCAGCAAAGCAGTCCAAGTAAGAACGGATATCCGGTATAGGTCAAAGGTTGTAGCTGTAGGTGAGTGCCAGGAATGTGAGAGTGACGCATATGGACATCGATAGGAGCCACGTGCAGAACCGATTGTGGAGAGGAAATCCACTAACGAGCAAAAGGGTAACACTCAAAGAAGCAAGGAACGAGATGGTATTGGATGTTAGGAAAGCGGCGAAGTAATTGTAGACGTCATCAGTACCGTAGCTTAACACTGCAGTTCCAGCTATGCATGTTCTCTCTTCACTGCAAATTGGTCTGTTATCATTGGTTCCAGAATAATAAATGGTAGTGTTTGTATTATTGGTTTCCCAAACACCACCTGGTGGGTTGACTATGGCTTGAAAAGTCATGGTCGAGATCATCGTAGCCACAACCATCAGCATGCCACGTGTCTCGACCACCCAATTACTCGGATATCTCAACCATTTCATCAATTTTATCCAGCACCACCTTGCTGGTTTTGATCCCATTTCCGATGGTGCTACTTGTACAACAACAGCAGCGGCGGCAACATCTGAGTTAGGTTTATCATTTTCATTATTTTGTCTTCTGATTAATCCTGCGTCCATCAAAATCTGTTGAATTTCTAAGCTTCTGCTAAAGTCCTCTCTGGCAACGCTGCTGTACTCTAAGATATCTAACATGGTCAGAGACATCCCATTCACACCAGTTGCTTCTGCTCTTATAGCATCAACGGAAAGCAGGTAACGTATAGTCTGCAAAATAATATATACACTTTATTAATTTGGTGGAAATTATGCTCCTAAGGGGAGCAAACAAAAGAAAGTACACATAAATTTGGGTTAATCTCAATTTACTACTTTGAATTTTCTTGATTTTCTACATTTGATATGTCTAAATTTTTTTTGTCTCAGTTTGATACTTAATTAAAGTCATAATTCTAGAATAGTTTTACAAATCTGTTAAGTTTTCCGTCAAAAGTTTCGTTAACTGATGATGTGATTCTCATGTGAATAATAACTAGACGCCACGTATCAATATGTGCCCAGATGGTTATTAAAAAATGAAAAAAAAAACTAAAAGCCTACAAACCGAAAAACCTAAAAGGGTGAAGATCATTTAAAAGAAAAAGGAAGTCGTGCAGCTGACCATGAAGGTCTCCGACGACCACCACGGTAGATTCCAGGCCTAGCTGATCGACGTTTGCCTCTTTGTGAAGGATCTTGGATGTGCAGTGGACCAAGCTATCGACAATCTCTACGGGAAACACGTCGGGCAATTGGGTTGGGTCCAGATTTCTAGATGCCCAATAAAAAACAAACCTGAGGTTCCTAACCCATTCGAGACTAAGCTTTCCGTCCGTCGGCCAGCCAACTGGGGTTTTCGGATTAGGCTTTGACTACAATGGGTTGTCTTCGGATTCGGAGTTGGTGATAGCGGAAGATGCCGAATCGATGACCGGCAACAGTTCTGCTGCTAATACTTCTTGCAACTTTTTGAGATGCAGATGGACGGAATTCTCTTTATTCCAGTTGAAAGGGAGGTAAGGGAAGGGAGTGGATTGCAGATCTGCGGAACGGAAACCCATATGCAGCACAAAAAGGAGTGGATTCATTCTACCGCTGCCCCATGTGCAGTCGGGAGATGGAGGCGTTTTTTTTATTTTTTTTTTAAGGAAACTAATAAAAAGGGTTTGAAAAGTTTTAGTTTTAATAAAAAATCATGTTATAATTTTTGTTTAATGATTAGTACAACGTTCATATTAAAGTAGTCCAACTAAAAAATGTTCAACTATAATAAATTATGATTTGTCGATTTTACCCCTAACTTTATTAGGTTGAGTTCCAGATTTTCGTTGTTAATGGAGTTCATCGTTGTTTTGCAGACATTCTTCTTTTTCTTGGAAACAAAAATATAGATCCTCATACTATTTAATTTATATTTTGTATTATTTCGTTGAAATGTGATCGTTGTTATTATTCATAGTGTATTCGAGGTACATTTTTTCTTCGTCAGTGGAGTTCATCGTTTGTTTCTTCAGAAAATAAATTTGAGATCTGCATGCTATTCAATAATAACGATGGGTCATTGTTTTTGGAATGTAAAAATAAACTGTTTCTGGAATCTAAGTCACTGTTTTTGGAATCTAAGTTACTATTTCTAGAATCTAAGTCACTGTTTCTGGATCCAAATGAAATAGACACACTGTTTCTTAAATGTAAGCTAGAAAATAAATAGTGAAATTCACTGTATTTGGATTCAAAGCAAAATAAGCATCATGTTTCTTTATAACCAACTGATGCATGAAAGAAAAGAAACAGTCAAAGGTTAAAATATAGACTGTTTATGGAATCTAAGTCACTGTTTATGGAATTTAAGTCACTGTTTTTGGATTTTGGTTCTTTTCTTTCCAGATACAGTGTTTGTTTGTGCACAGACAAAACAAACACTATATCTGATTTTTTTTTACAGAAACAATGTTATGTTTTGGGTTCTCCAGAAACAGTTTTATGTTTTGGTTTTTTTTAAGACATTTTTTCGTCGATTTCTGCCATTAAACTTCTTTGAACTTGTTTCGGTGGCTTTGTTCCGATGAATGCTTCCCTTTTTTAACTTTGATTTGGTTGTTTTTGAAATGGGGGAATTCAATTTGATAGGAAGACATAAAGTTATTATGGCTGTTTTATGCTGGGTTGAGGTTGGTGAAGAGTTAGGACAATATGAAATCATTTAGGGGTATTTACAGAAGTGTAGATTTGTAATGGTTGGGCTTGTAAGTTTGACCTATGGACAATAGTTTTGGATGTTTTTTTATTAAACTTTGAGCCATTTTGGTTAAATAACATTTTGAGATGGTTTTTGGTTAAATATTTGTTGGTCCAAACTCTTTTCATTAAAGCTCCCTTGTTTTTGGTCAAAGGGAGATAGAGGCTCAAATTTGGTCATTTGCGATTCCTCCTCAATGTTTATCAGATAACTTATGAGGTGTAGTCAAATGAGGATTTTAAGGAGTAGGGATTCTCACCCCTTTTTTTTTCTTTCCCTTACCTCATCTACTATTTAAACGGTGACGGTTAATCCATGATGACATCTTATATTAATTTTTTGTAGAAACAAAAAGATAAAATAAAGAATGTGAAAGGAGAGGATGGAAGGGGATGGAAAGAGGATGTAAGAGAATCCTAGTCCGAATTTTAAAGCATTTTAAAAGACTTTAAAATTATGGTGTAGTCAACTAGGATTTTAAAAGATTTTAAAAGAATTCATTCAAATACAGGGGTAGTCAATTAAAGAATTTTAAAAGACTTTAGAATCATAGTGTAGTCAACTAGGATTTTGAAAGATTTTTATAGAGTCCATGCAAATCTATCGGTATTAAAAAATTCATAAATTTTGAAGGATTTCTTTCAATAAGAGATTTTGTAGGATTTGAGAAGGGATTATAAGCATAACAAAATCCTACCTCCACCCTAGGATTTCTTTCCAATCCCCTCGCTCTTTCTCTCTTTCTTCATTCCGCAACTTGATCTTTCTTTCTCACTCTCCATTTTCTTCCAGACATAGAACTTGCCAACCTGATTTCCTTTCACGTTCATCCATCACCGTCCCAGTTGCAAACTACAACATTTTTTTAAATTTTTTATTCCTTTATTTTGGACCGTGTAATATTATTTCTTGTAATGCTTTGATGGGAAGTGTTAATGGCTAATAACCGTTCTTGTAATGATTATGGGGAAGTGTTAATGGCTGCTAATCGTTCTTGTAATGATTATGCGTTCTATCTGAAGGTGTTAATTTTTTACCGTGTTAATTGAACTCTTCGAAATTACTACTAAGAATCTTATTGTCAATTCAAGCTTTCTGTTCTTTTTTGTGTAATCATGTTAGTGTAAGGGTGCAAGCATCTTCCAAAGCCTATTTATATTCGTATTTATATTGGTAGTTGTAATTTGACTGAACAACACATTATGAACTAATCAATTGTTGAGGAAAAATGATTAATTTTGAGACATTTGATCTAAGAAGCATTACTTGTTTTGGTTAGTTAAAATTATTTTTCGTAAAGAAATCACAATTCAAATGAGAAAGGGAAAGAAAAGACATATTTGATTGGTTTATATTTCCATATCTACACACACACACACACATATATATATATATGTTTATGTTTTCTTCAGATTGTGCAGCGAGAAAAGAATTTATATTGTATGAGTCAAAAAAGAAATCCTAAGAAATACATGAAAGAAATCCATATAAATCCATAAAAATCTATAACAGAAATTCATAATAATTTGTCAAAATCCATATGGAATTGTAGAATCTATTAAAATCCTTTGAAATTTGTCACTTAAAAAATTCACGTGTGCCATATTGACATGTAGCGCTCAGTCATTATCCATGTGAGTGCTGAGTCATCAGTTAACAGAAGTTCTTATGAAAAACTTAACGGATGTGTTAAAGTGTCATAAAATTATGATTTTAGGTATCAAATTGAGACGAAAAATACTTGATGTATCAAATATTGAAAATTTAAAAACTTCACAGTAGTAAACTGAGATTATTCCTATAAACTATATAAAAAGGGGAACAAACAAAAGAAAATTTACACGTGAACATACCTAAACTACCTATTAATAGAACCCTAGTTGTCAACCAAAACTCTATGAAATTACTATTTTAACTCACTTATAAAAACTAAACAAAAATAAAAGGGTTAATCTCAGTTTACTACTTTGAAATTTATTGGTTTCAACATTTAGTACATCAAATATTTTTTTTGTCTCAAAATGGTACATGAAGTCATAATTTAGGAATACTTTCATACATCCGTTAAGGTTGTTGTTAAATCAGTCGTTAACTAGTGATGAGGCACCCACGTAGACAATGACTAGGTGCCACATGTCAATGGGGCACACATGAAAATTAAAAAAATAATAAAAAGTAGAAAAATTTAAAAAAAAAACTCATCGTCTTCTACCTCCCCCAATCCCACCCAACCGTTCCTCCATTCTTTCATTTGCGCTCACCCAAACCTCTCTCCCTAAAACATGCACGATCTAGAACCCTCATGGACCAACGAAGATAAACAGGATCGCGGTGAGATCGGTGGTTGGCGGTCTGCGCAGAGCCCGGAACTACGCCACTGCATTTCTATGGCGGTCATTGCTAGGTTGTTGGACAACGCCGAGTTCCTGAACCGTCGGAGCAACGACGGTTTTAGCAAATCTGGGGTTGGCTTCGAAGTTTTTGCGTTTTGTCTTCTTAAAACCAAAATGTGAAGGTTTAAGCTTCAATCAAAGCTCTGTTAGAGGCATGGCTAGGTTTTGTATTAGAGAAATTGGAGGTTTAGTTTGTTGATTAAGGGATGTGTGGCTATGATTCCCACTAGGGGAGAGGGTACAGTAGGAGAGAATGAAGGAAGGTTGGCTGGGATTGAGGTGGGGGTGGGGGAAAGAGGAAATGGATCATCTCTGGATCCCTTCCTCCTAATCCACCAAATCAAGGAATCCGTGCTGTTGAAATTTGATCAAACAGTTACAAATAAGGGCCCACTTTAAATTATAATAACTTCAACCGTTGGATCAAATTTAAATGGTCCGGATCCCCTGATTTGGTGGATTAGAGCATCTCCAAAGGAGATGTCAAATATAGTATGTCAAAATTTTAATTGATGGTTGATGTGGCAAATTGAATACAAGTGCTAAATTTTCTTCTTTTCCAATGGATGTGTCAAATATTTATTTTATTATTTTATTGGGCCTAGAGATACATTAACTACTAAAAAATAATCAAAATTAGTTTTAGTTTTTATTCTATTGGTTGTTAATGGGACCCATGCATTAAAAATTAAATAAAATATATTTGACTCCTTCTTTATTTGCTGTCAAAAAAGGCAGCTAGAAAGCAAGGTGTTAAATGACTCACATGCCACATTATATATGGCATATTCACTGGAGAGCACTTAAATGTCTTTTAATCCTATTTGGCATATTTGACATCTCCTTTGAAGATGGTCTTAGGAGGAAGGGATCTGGAGATGATCCCGTTTTCGGGGAAAGAGATAGGAGATGGTGTTTTTTTTTTTTAAATTCCACGTGGGCGCATTTTGACACGTGGCGCTCTGTTATTGTCCACGTATGCACCACGTCAGCTGATTTAACACTAATCTTAATGGATGTAAGAAAGTGTCATAAAACTATGATTTCAGATACCACTTTGGCAGTGATGGAGTTAGAAATTTATATCAAGAGGGGCCTTTAAACTAAATGAAAGAAATTTAAGAAAAAAAACATATAATAATATAGTTAATTGGAGAACAATTAAAAGTCAAATTTTCTAGCTTTTTAGTTAAAGTCAGAGCTACAAAATTTAGTATTGAGATGGTTATGTTATAAAAATAGAGCTTGTTTACAAGTTTTGGTAAAAAAGGATTTCATATGTTAGATTCAAGTAAAAATTAAGGTTATGACTAGCTCAAAAACATTGTAAGATATTTCTTTCAACATAACATAAAAATTTAAGGTTATGACTAGCTCAAAAATATTACAAGATATTTCTTTCAACATAACTGAATCTTATTCTCGAATATATAAACCTTATTTTATATGAACTGATAAAAAAGGTAGAAGGTTTTTGGTTGGGAGTTTTAAAATCATTGGCGTCAGCAAGTTTCGAACAGTGGACCTCGTGTACAACCAAACTCTACTTAACCATTACACCACATACTTCTATTGTTATATTAAGTGGACACCACATACGACTGCAAATTCCAGGATGGGTCTCGCCACTACACTTTGGGATGAAAAAACTTGATATGCCAAATTTTAAAAACTAAAAAATTTCAGGTTGATAAACTGAGATTAACCCAAAATAAAAAATTTGGTCAATTTAGTAATTACATAAACATAAATTTTACTATTTTTTACAGCAACCTCACATCCAAGTTAGTATAGCATGATGCATTTAAAACTCAAAAAAAAAATTGTTAAATAAAAAACTTACAAATAAAATAAAATAATAAAAAAAAACTGCTCATCATTATACCAATTTTCGTAACTATTTTTTTTTTAATTTTAAAAACTAGTTACACTTCATAATAAAAAACAAAACAAAATAAAATTGTTCATGCAGTGTGGGCATCTGCTAGTATAGAAAATGGAAATATATATACGTACCTTAATTTGCCTTAGCATCAAAGCTAAGTGCAGGATGGTCACACCACCATCACAGCCAGCTCTTGAGTTGAGGAACTCACCATTTCTGTCGTCTCTTTCAACCAACAGTCTATCAGCCAACAGTTTCAAGCACTCTAACTAGTTGTGTATACTACACAAGTGCAAAACTGTTTCTTTCGATCTGTTTTTAACTTTGTCATAAATGGACTCAGGATTTTTATCAATCAACTTTTGGAGCACCTCAACTTCTCCTCTCATGGCTGCATAGTGAAGAGGGATTCTTCCATTTTCATCAAAATCCGAGCACACACCAGCGTACACAGATAACAAAGCCTCGACGGTCTCCTTGTGGCCCTTAGCAGAAGCCAAGTGCAGGGGTGTGCGTCTATCGGCGTCCACCCCCTCTGCAAGTTTGGGATTGTTAGTGCAAAGGGCTTTGGTAAACTCAGCCCCAGTTTGGGGTTAAGTGATTTTAAAAAAAGCTCCTATGAAAAAAAGCTGTGAGTGTTTTTGGTGTTTGGTAAACTAAAAAAAAATAGCTTATTTTGGAAGCTGCTGTGAGAATAAGCTGAAATCAAAGGAAAAAACTGAAGCTGCCATTTGTAGCTTTGGAAAACTGGTTTTTTTTCAAAGCACACAGAACTACAGTGCTCCTTTAATGAAAAGACCCACTATCAGACTGTTTTTTTTCTTTCTAAAAGCACTTTTACAAAAAAGTTTACCAAACACTCTGCTGATTTATTTCACAGCCGCTTATTCTCACAGCACAGCCGCTTATTCTCACAACAGCTTTTTTTCAAAGCACAGCAATACCAAACCAGCCCTCAGTGTGGCCGTGCAAAGCCAAAACATGCAAGGGAGTTCCGGTTATGCCGGTCTGCAGGGGTATTCTCCATAGAATGTCTGGGTCTTTTTCGATCAACCTGTTTAAGGATTCTACACTCCCGGTCCGTGACACCTCGTACACTTCATCTTCATCATGCCGTGTGATCTCCATTGTTTTTTTTTCTCTCTTCCTACGTCGCGCAATATTTATCTAACTGCTATAATTTTAAGTGGGGGTAATGCGGGAAATCAAAAGTTTAAACAAAATTTGTAAACCAAATAATGTAAGTCACCAATAAGAAGCAAACACGTTAATCGATACTTAGTTAATAATCCAATCATCTACAATCACATCATTTAGTTAAAAAAAATTAGTCTTCCTAGCATTACCCTTTCAGTGGTTGGATATTTGAACAATAAAATTTCCAACTACTTGTATTTATGACACTTTGTGTATCAAACTGTGTTTCCGACACACATAAAAATTTCTCTGTGTTGGTGAAGAATTCAAATCTTTGATTAATGTTTCAGGTTGCAGTTTATCCGGGGAATGTTTTGGCCCTGCATCACTACTGGGCAATATCTATGTGAAGATATCTCCCCATTTCAATGGTAATTTTCGGTACATATAGTTTTCATCATCGTTAATATTTAGTCTTCGGTACTTAATTAGTCTCCATATTTTTGGAGGAAATTTTAAACTCAAATTTTATGAACGATAATTGTTGTTAAAAAACGTAAAGCTGACTATAGTGAGAATTGATGTGTGTTTTATAGGCATCCCTTCTCGGTTACTTCGGCTCCCGGAGACAACTACATAAGCATTCATATTCGAACAAATTTTCTCTAAAGTAATTTCATGTGTATAAACATCACTGATTTGGTTGATTTCTTGTACATATTGTTGGAAAATATTAGTATTTTAGGTATTATATTGTTTGAGTTTTCTTATAAGTTTAGTTTAGGCCTAACCTAGTAGTATTAGGATTATGTTTGTTCGTTATAATAGCATGTTTGTTATTCAGTCCAGAATAAGTTAGCCAATATGTAGTCTCTTACGGTTTCGTAGCTGTTTCGGCATTCTTGTTTATTAATAATATTCTTATTATTTTGTAATCTTGTTTGTAGCACACTCTGATATTCAACTTGGTATGTTTGATCCTTTGGAGTTGAATATGTTCTTGGTAGCTAGTTTGTTTTTTAGTTTGCTTGGTATCAGTTTTGTTAAGGTTTTGTTTAAAAAAAAAAAGGTTTGCGCCTGTTTGCCCCAGCCTACTAGTACTGTCGGTGCTGCTCAACCCGCACCAACCTGACCACTACCAGATCGACCCACCTCTGACCTACACTGTCGCTCGCCTCATCGATTCTTGCATGTACCACCGCTGTTGCTCGACAACCACAAACCACCACTTGTTTTTTGACGAAGTCCAGACCCGAGAACCACAAACTCAGATCGAGTTCGTCTTCACCCTGCACTTTGCCGTAGGCTCGTACCCGCAGTCGACTCCCATGAGTCGGATCTTTCGAACCACTGCAATCATGCCGCTGCTAGTTTGAAAACCTTATTCTTGCTGTTTTTTGTTGGTCCGATGATTGCATTGGAGTTCCAATGCCGTCTGATGATTGCTGCACTAGTTTGCAGTTACACATAAGAGAAGGAGAGAAGGATAAAAAGGTCGTACCCAGTGCACAAGGCTCCCGCTTTACGCAGGGTCTGGGAGAGGTGAATGTCGGCTAGCCTTACCCCCATTTATGGAGAGGCTGCTCCCAAGTCTCGAACCCGAGACCTACCGCTTATGGGCGAAGACAGTTGCCATCGCACCAAGGAGAGAAGGATACAGAAAAAAAAAACAAAAAACAAAAAGAGACATGTTGTTTGAAGAAAAAAGAATGAGAAAAAAAAAGTAGAAAAGAAAAAGGGAAATAAATGGTTAAGTTTGTTTTATGGCCACACGAGTTGTTGGCTTGTTTGATATTGTTTTGTGACTGTAATTCGAGTGCTTGGAATTATGATCACTCGAGTGATAGTGTTTGTGTTTGTTCGTTCATTGCTACAATTGAGATACGGAAATCTCATGAATATTGTATTTTGTAGGTGTGTCAGCTTCCATCTATCGAAGGCAGTATCAAACCTAGGTAATTTTGCAGTACTTGTATTTAGTGAATAATAAAGTCTGTCATTCTTGAACACATAAATTTCAGAATTTTATCTGTATATTATATCAACGACTGAAAACGGCACACAATGACTATCAATTTTGTTGTTGGATTTAACTTAAGCATGTATTAGCAGGATGCCTGGACTCCTGATTGATGGTCCGTATGTTGCACCAGCACAAGTCTACTAAAAATACGAAGCCCTCCTACTTGTAGGCCTTGGCATTGGTGCCACTCCACTAATAAGCATTCTCGAAGACTTGCTTAGCAACAATATTAAGCACCAAAAGGAAGTTGAAGATAATCAAGGGATCAAAGACAACAAAAGGACTTTTGTCACCTAAAGAGCTTACTTCTACTGCATGGATCACGAGAGAGCAAGGCTCGTTTGAGTGGTTTAGGGTGTGATGAATGAGGTGGCCGGAACTGATATAGATGGTGTAATTGTGCTCCGTAACTACTGCACAAGTGTGTACGAAGGAGATGCTCGATCGGCTCTTACCACAATGCTTCAATCTCTTAATCATGCCAAAAACGGCATCGACGTAGTTTCGGGTACGAGGGTTAAGACTCATTTTCCTAGATCGAATTGGCGTGACGTTTTTAAGCGTGTCGCAATTAAGCACACTGATCAACAAGTTGGTAAGTACATTTAATATAACTTTAATGGAACGTTTTCTGGTTACACTATCTGGTAATCATGGGGTTTAAGTGAATTGAGATCATTAATTATATTAGTTCATGCTAAAACGTATGGTTTTACCTAACATGTGTGTTACTTAAGCATTATCTTTTTACCAAAATTTAACAAAAACAAGGAGGTTAAAAATTGTTTTTCTTGCTTTGCTTTTGGAAAAGTGATTTCCGCATATTTCATATTCTCAATTTCTCCTTTGTGTATCTTTTAACTTTTAGATTGAACAAATGAAAGAAAAATTAACATACAAAAATCAACAAAGATGTATAGAATGAGAAAAAACGTGTGCAAAAATTATTTCTCTCCCTTTTACTGTAAATGTTCAAAGTATTAAGTTGGTTTTCATATGTCCTTTTGCTGCAGGTGTATTTTACAGTGGTGCACATGGATCAGTAGGGGAGTTAAAGAGGTTAGCTCAGGATTTTTCCAGAAAAACCGAGACCAAGTTTGATTTCCATAAAGAAAACTTTTAAATTAACTTCCTTATTGAACTTCCCCTTTTGGGTATAAACGTAATGGCCAAGCAATTAAGTAATGATCTCAGATTCATATAAATTAATTCTATATTTTTATTATTTTTAATTTCAATTTTCCAATTGTATGGTTGCATTTTGGGCGTAATGATCCTCATCCATTCGGAGGAAGATAGGTGCTTCGCACGTGACCATTATTGAAGAGTTAATCTCATCTAATTTTTTTTTAATTTCATTTGAAAGATAATAATAATAGTATTACGCATGATGAAGTTCTATTTAAGTTTTATACTTGTAAGTGAAAAGTCTTAGATTTGATTCTCATCAAATATGAATTTGAACCAAATTATTGCTAGTCTATCGTGAGGTTTAGCCGACTCCCGACCCACCCCCTCAATGTAGATAATATCTCGTATGTTAAAAAATGCTTAATTCTTGCATTATTATGATAAACCGTTGGCAAATTAACTCTAAACAAATGTTTTGGAAAAGCAGATTTAAAAGGCATTCTCAGTGCCATCTGAAAGTTGTTCCTACAGCCCATAGGTACCAAATTAAGCAATTCATGTTAAAAAGCTTCTTGTTTTATTTATTTGTTTGTAAAACATAGTATCCTTTTCTTCAAGCTAACCAATGGACCACTAAAATATGAGATAGTGACTTATATGTAAAGAGTTCACTGTCACCGTGATATCTGATCAGTCCAACAGTAAAATATTATGTGTGAATTTATCTCCTCGTGACATTGCATTTTTTGAATCAAGACGCTACATGACAATAAATGCGTTTAATGTAAGTTTCTCTCCAAATCTAAGGAGTTTGGTGTAATCGAGAGATAATTCCAATAATATAGTATAATCTCTTTAAAGAGAAAGACTTTCATGAAACAATTGTCTCAAACCCGACATGGTGGTTATGTATATGTTAAAACACATGGTGACACTGACACGTGAAAGATTAGAACAATATCACATTGACAGTCATGTTTTATATATATAATCCACCCTACTCTTATAAGCTAGATCATCAAGAAAGATTTCACTGTAAAATTATACTAAACTGTATCTCTATTCTATCGCGTGTGTTGTATGAAAAGTTAAAACCCATAACCTAATTAACACAAAATTTTGTAGGACACTTTGCCAATGGCCATGGAGAATCAAGTTTCTACCCGGAAGAAAAAGGAGGATTATCTTCCCTCTTTTTTTTCCTTTCCTTCCCTCCCCTTCTATTTGAACGGCCACTGTTAAGCCACATCAGCATCTTATATTAATTTTTTATAAAAAATGAAAGACAAAATAGAGAATATAAGAAGAGAAAATGGAAGAGGATGGAAAAAGAATGGAAAAGAATCCTAGTCCGAAGAAAAAAGCATGCAATTGACCTCCATAACCAAAAAGTGTAACTTGGGTTTGATGATTTTACTAGTTATCTACAGTCCAGCATAATGCTTCAGATAATTCTTACTAGTTATCTACAGTCCAGCATAATGGTTCAGATAATTCTCCCCAAAAACCAAAGACCCAATTGATAGAATCTTCGCAACCGAGCCAAATCACTCCATTCTTAATCTCTGATTAAAGTTTTAATTGCAAAAAAGAAAGATTTGGTAAAAACATTGAATGTTTTATTATTCTGAACCTTCCTCATTTCAATGAGAAGTAAGATGATTTGGTATTAAAATATAGACAAGTACTGACTAGTAAGTACCTAATTTACTCACTATAATTTGTGATCCAATAAGATTATAACACCTGTCTATTTAATATTTTCCCAAACCTTTTGCTATGTTGATTACCCCTGCCATGGCAAATCTGCAAACTCGAAGCCCTTAGTCGATCCCATCGCAGCCTTCTCCTCCAACCTCCTCCGTCGAATCCACCCTCGTCCCCTCCACCCAACCTTCTCCCTCATCTCCCTTCCTCTGAAAATCCCACGCCTTCGTCTGCAAATCCCTACCAAACCAGCACTGACCCTCGATTTGCCGCGGAGAGGGGTTGGTGGATATATTCGGGCTATAATCGACGGAAATCTTGGAGGAAGGAGTATGCGTGCGCTCACGGAGGAGAGACAAAAAGGAGTCTGAGGTCTGTCACGTTGGCAGGAAGGGAGGAAGAAGAAAGGTTGTGTTTGGCCACAGGTTTAAGAAAAAAGTTTGTGTTTGGTGACAGTGATGTGAGAAAGTATAAATAGACAGGTGTTACAATTTTATTTGGCCACATGTTATGGTGAGTAAATTGGTTACTTAGTCAGTACCAAAAAAGTTTAAAATTTTAAAATTACAGTGACACCCCACCAAGCACCAACTTCAAGGGATCACACCGTAATTTCCACTGTGCAACTCAATTCCCCCTCAGCTACTAGATCTTTCCCCTCCATCATAAATCCCCGTCCCTTCCTTCTGAAGCATTCTCAGTTGCCACACTCATTGCTAACCCCTCTCTCTCTCTCTCTCTCTCTCTCTCCTCTCTCTCCAAAAACCAAGATCTCTCTCAAAAAACCAAGAGTTGCTTACTCTCTCGGATTCTGTCCAATGCCTACAGCTGAAGCTAAACCAGAACAACCGAAAGGAAGTGAAGAAGTTTTTCAACCCCCTCTCAACTACAAAGTAAATAGAAATTCTAAGAACACCAACTTTGTTATTTTTCAGAAAAAGATTTCAACTTTCAGATTTTCTAACTTCTTTTCTGTTTTGTAGATTTGGGTTTTGAAAGTCCCTATCCACTGTGAAGGCTGCAAGAAAAAAGTCGCAAAAATCTTGAAAAAAATCGATGGTAATACCCTTAAAATCCCTCTGATGTTATAAACCTGTTTTTGTAGTTTTTTTTAATCGTACGGTCCTTATTGATTCGATAGTTTCTGATTTGCATGTCTCGTTTCATCAACCTTTTCAGTTACAGACTTACATTCAGCTCAAATTTCTCGATTTTTACAACATGGGTTTTGATTTTTAATGTGTTCTTATTGTTTTAATTAAAAAATGTGATTTTTACTATTTTTTTGGTGGGTTTTCAGGGGTTTACAAAACAGAGTTTGACGGGAACATCGGAAAGGAAAACAAAGTTACAGTGACTGGAAACGTGGAGCCGGAGATTCTGATCAAGAAACTGGCTAAGGGAGGAAAATATGCAGAGATGTGGCCTTGTCAGAAGGCTAACAACAGCAATAATTCAAATGACAAGAAGAAAAATAAGGAGAAGAATAAGGAGAAGCAGCAAGGCGAAGATACCCAAGGGTCCGAGGACGGCAACCATGGCGGAACTGGAGGCGGCGGTAGTTGTGATAATGAAAGGGAGACGGTTGAGGCTGACGTTGTTCAAGTTCAGGATAATCGTGGTAAGAAAAATAAAGGTGGTAGTGGCGCGGGTGGGAGTAAGACTCCCGAGGGGGTTAATGCTGTGAAAGTGAATGAGGGGGATGGTGCACCGGCGAAATCCGGCGGCGGTGGAAAGGGTAAAGAGGTAAAGCTTGAGGTGGTGAAGCAGGGGAAGCCTGTGAACATGTCTGGACAGCCGGCTGCGGCGGAGAAGTGTTTTGGTGGGGATGACGATGAAGATGACAGTAATTGTGAGGTTGATAAAAGTGGAGGCGGCGGCGGCCCTAGTAGCAGTGGAACTAAGAAGAACAAGAAGGGGCCAAAGGGGAAGGCCAATGCTGATGATTCAGATGAGGTTGACCAATGTGGTGATGCTGCTCCTCCACGCACTGGATCACCACCAAATCAAGGCAATGTACGACGTGGGCCTCCTATGCCTCAGGGGCCTTACATGCTTCCATCTGGTACTCAAGGCCCTAATTTTGCTCCAGCTCTTGCTCCGGCTCCGGCTTCAGCACCAGCTCCAGCCAATCACATGGCTCCACATCAGCAGATGTATGAGTACCAGTATCCCAGGCAGAACTACAGCGGGCTTCCCCTCCAAGCTATGAACTTCAATACGGCCTACCCCGCCAGGAGCTACGGTGCATCCCAGTATGCTGCACCACTACCTCACGCACACTCTTACACTTATGCGTCTCAAAGTGTGGCTGCTGAGAGTGAGCTCAGGTCCTATCATTCGGACTCGTATCCGCAGTATTACCCGTCGCCGCCGGAGTATAATTCGCCGCAGCAGTCCGATTCCTTCGTGATGTTCAGCGACGAAAATCCGAACGGGTGCAGCATTATGTGAAGCATTGTGTTACTTGTATAAGTGCTTTTTGAGAAGATTCTTGTAGTGGTTTAGTGGGGAAGGATAAATGGGTTGTTAATTAGAACAACAATATTACTTTCACTTCAGTATCCTATCACGGAAATATACATTATTGTGAATATATGGAAAGAAAAAAATAAAATAAAGATACAATAAATTACAGGAGATATGAAGTCATACTCTAACAAGAAGTAGAAAACTATTAGAAACAAAAATCAATTAACGCAACTCCTAAGATAAACAAAAGTTTGAAAGCTCTGAAAGATTATGAGCAAAAGCTGCAACTGTATAAGGCAGACAAGAATCCTGCTGCAACTGTAAAAGGCAGACAAGAATCCTTTGCCAAATGTGAGAAAAACGAATATATATGGAAGAGAGAATGGTCCAATAATTTGTCCAACCAACTGATAAACGTCAAGGTACCTTAGAGATCCGTTTGAAAGAAAATGCACTGTCAAAGAAGAATCACACTTAATTCAAAGAGAATGTCAACATTTCTTCAAAGCTATAAAACAGCATGAATAATAGCTCTAGTAGTTCGTCTATTAGGGTTTTACTAGTAGTTGGTCTTTATATCCAACTCTAGTTTAGCTATCTACTAGGGTTTCAGTATCCATATTAAAAAAGCTGTTAATTTGCAGATAATGTTTTACCTTAGCAGTAGAAAATAATTATGCATGTGCATCCTGATTCGGGTTTTACCGTACGCATGAAGAGAAAGAGGTAAAATGGATTTCGACCATTCGAAATTGAAACAAAATTACTTTGACCTGTCTAGTTGCACACAAGAACCCTTTCTAGGTTTCTTTGAAGCAACAGCTACAACACATTCGAGGAGAAACTTATCATATGTCATTGTAGTGATTGATATGTTTTAAGTCTATAATGTATTGACGTGTTTTAACATTTTTGCATGATATAGCATATGATTAGAATGGAATAATGTAAGCAACATTCTTTTGCATGTAAGTTATATCACGTATTGACATTAATTTTAACATTTTTAGATGGATAAATATGATTAGTTTTGAATATGATCATAGTGATATTTTTGTTGCATGGAAGTTCTTGGGTCAACCCTTTCAAGCAATATCCATGGTCATGGGCAGATTCATAGAGAGACCAGGGTAGTCACGGGAGCACTCGAGGTATTGGAAAAACATAAATGGACTCATAAATTGAGTGAACATATATATATTTTTTATATAAATGACCTTACTAGAAAAGGGCCATGATTTAGATTTTGTAACTTATAATATTATTTTTGAACCTTTTACATTAAACTCCCCGGCCTTAAATTTCTGAATTCACCATTGTCCATGAGGCACTTTTTCTTGGTTAGTTTGTAGGACCATTTCAATCTTTCAATATTTGGAAATACTCTCTTAGTGATTCGTAAAGCGGAGAATTATAATGGAGAAAGTGGAAAGATTAGTTAAAACTATTTATTAGAGATGTCCTTCAAAGGATGCTAATCACATTGTTAACTGGAAAGAAATAATTTACAATTGTGTAATGCCCTAGATTAATTTTGTCTCTTTCTAAGCTGTGGAAACCCATTTCTAGATTCCAATAAAATATCCAAAATATCGAGCTAAGGTTTTAGAGATTTTCTTTGCTGGTTTTGTGAAAGAAGAAAATGTTTAAATTGAAAAAGTCTCTTGTTCTTTAATTACTATAAAACTTGAGATATTAAAATAATTTATCTCCTTTGAAAGTTTTACTTTAAAAAGCAATCTCTTACTTCCATCCATTAATCCTTTGGAGTTTGTGGTGGACTGTCCTCTTTGTTTTAGTTTTCATTTTTTTCCTTCTTTTATTCTGTAGACTACTGCTTTTGGATTAAAAGCACTTTTTTTTAGATTAATTTAAAAGCAGATTTGTACGAGTAGCATGTAGGCCTTTTCTTTAATTATTGCTTTTGAGACATGCCTCCTAGGGCAAGCAACCCCACAAGCAAGCAAATGATGTTCAGGATAGAGTCGGAAACAGGAGCAGGATGCTTTTGCTTACTAGCTAATGGTAAAAGTATTTAGACGGTTTCATAAATGTGCATAACTCTTTATTTTGATTTTTAAGATTTAAAATCGATATAATTGATCTATGAGTTTGTTCATAATTAATCATTTTAGTCATTCCAGGAAAACTCTCCATAAAATAAGGATAAAATTATAAAAATATCCTTAATTTTTATCAAATCATTTTGACTTATTGTTTATTATATTGAGGGTAATTTTGTCATTTTGATCCATATTTAACATAATTTTTCACCGAGGGACCATAATGATTGATGATGGACAATCTCAGGGATCACTTCTATTCATTTCAAATCTCAGGGACCAAAGTGAAGAGTTAAGCAAATCTTAAAGATCATTTTGGCTAAAAAACCTATTTAAACATGTAAAATTAATCATATTGTTAACACATTCTCTAATACACTTAGATTTTTACATAAACTGATGGAGTTTACCTGTGAAAGATTTTGCTTTAGCAATGTGATTAGTTTTAGTAATGTTATTTGAACACGTAAAATGGAAACTCACCACATTGATGACATGCCTTAGTTTTACATGCAATGATGGGGCTAGTAGGTAGAGTATCAACAGTGTCTCTTTAAAAGGCAACTATGTCCCATAAACTTTGCATTATATAGGATTTGAGCCACATGGTATAAGTTGGTGTAAAGGTATAAGAGTAGTTAGTCATGACAAAGACATTCACTTCGGATTTTTGTATTCGGAGTCCAAATTTGAATCGTTCAAGAGAGAGAAAAAGAGATCCAGGCCATCAAGTATTTAGGTTTTCGTGAAGTAGATCGTGAGATTGAAATTAAGTAACCTAAATCTTTTCCAGAGCTTTGGACACAGAGATCCGGAGTATAAAACGAAAAAAAAAACATCATAAAAAAAAAAAAGATATAAAACGAAAAAAAAAATATATATATATATATAATGAAAAGTTGCACCTTTCACAACCTGAGACACTGGTTCAAAAGAAGCAAGTAGCTCGAAATGAATGCAGGTTGTAACTCTAAGTACATATTTAACTAATGCAAGGTTAGTATCATAATGCCTGCGACAAGTTTGATGGATATCGATTCTAGCTAGTACCTACATATTACGAGTGTTTTGCTGCCGGTAGTTGTTTACACGCGAGGACATGCCGTTAACATTGAGAACTTATATTAACTTGTCACGAACTCACTATAAAGCATGAAGCTAATAAAGCGCCAGAAATTTATAATTGTGCTAGTTTTATGTGCACGGACAACTGATGCTAATATATCTCTCGTAAAATCAAATAACATAATCAAACCCCACCTAACAAATTGTTTGATAATATTCATATGTTTGTATAGCTTTATATGCCTAAACAAGCAAAAGCAAATTTGTCTAGTAAAACACAAAATTTGAGCCGTAACATTTCTATAAAAACGTCAAACAACACGCCGTAGTGCATAATTTGTGTGGAGAACGACCCGAAGTTAGTGATTGATATTGTTTCAGGATCATGCAATGTTCATTGGCGCTTCATGTCTATCATTGATAATATCAAAGATATTGCAAAATTCTTTGATTTTATTTTTAGGACGCATGTGTTTTAAGAAGCGAAGTTTTTTACGGGCGCTGTTACAAGTACTGGCTTTCGTCATAATAGCCTGAGGAGTGTGGTTCACAGAACCTTTTTATTTGATTGTATAAGAACTGGTTGTAATCGTGGTCATTCTATTTAATTTAAGTGTTCTTTTGCATATAAATAAATAAGTAGTTGGAGGCTTGCGTTTGCTTGCTGTGTTGAGAAATGAGATTTACGCAAAGGTAATGGACCACTGAGGAGTTGAAACAGCAGCCTCATCACATTCAGAATCACATAAACGCAAAGGTCAGGAATCAAATGGGCCAGCTTCCAAGTTAATAACAAATCGCATCATTGTTACGAGTAACTTATATAAAATAAATTTACTATTATTGTATTGACATGTAAAGAAAAACTAAGTTATAAGATTGACATATCATGTGATGGTACACTGTTTTATATAAGTCTTCTACGATAAGTTTAAGTATAAATACTTTTGGGTGGGTTAGTTTCGTATTGCCGTCCCCCCAATTATTTTCGTGGTTTAGGTTACTCTCAATCATTTTTACTTTGTTTCTTTTAGCTACTAAGATGTTTAAGTTGTAGAGTTTAGTCTCAAGATGATTACTGAAGTTTGTCAATTTCAACTCATACGATTAAAACTTAAAGGGTATGCTACGATCAGTCGCTCACGCGTGTGTGAGTGACTTTCAACGCTTAAACTTTAACGGTTGATACATGTGAAACCCTTGATGAATCAATGATTAGGTCGCGGGTGCAAAATGTTCGAAAAATTCTAAAAACTGTTCTATAGGTTTCTAAGAACTATTCTCCTTATAAGAATTATAAGGATTTTAATTAAATCTAAGCTTGTAAAGTTTTGTAATTTTTTTTTTCTTTCAAAATCAAATGCAAGCTTTATAAAGTGAGATGGGCCTATAACCCAACAAGCCCAACTAAGTAAATACCCACCTGGGCCTAGTAACTCCCGCCCAATTCTCTTAATCAGGGTCAAAATCTCCTTCTTTTGGTTTGTTTGACATGGATGTTTGTATATAATAGCAGCGGGTTTTCGAAGAATCACATATCAGGTGTTTCTTTTGATAATCACTCTCATTTTTTTGAGTTGGTTCTTCATTAAAGCTCTTATGCTAGAAGTGATTTTGTCGTAAACAAAGTCATTGCTTGACGAAATATTATTCTTCATTTGATTTCAAAATCATTCTCTTGACTCGTCATTCTAGCTGCCACCCTGAAGAAAATGATCGCATGGAAGAACCTAGAGGTATGTAAGAAAATATTTAGGTTAATCTTGCTTGTTTTATACAACTGTAGTAACTAAAGCTTTGTGCAGTTTGGTGCTATCAGAAGGGTCACAAATTAACGGCGGTGGTTTTTCACAGCACCATCCTAGTAACTGGGTAGATGCAGATGAAGACGACAGTGATGAGGATGAAGAGAATGACCTTTGTATTCAAGCAACACCACCGTACCACAGTAAGATTCGTGGCTGCAGACTGCAGTGATGGTTGGCCAAATTTCTTTTCTTTCTCATGTTGTAAGTCCATCTTTCTTCTTCAACGACATGCTTTATTGGCTTTACTTATTGAGCAAGGCTGCTTTGTGCTTTTCTTTGAGTGATTATCCTATGTAAATAATATGAAGTCATCCACAATTAGATCAGAAACGGTAATGTCATTCTATTCAAACTGTGAAACGATTTCTTGGTGTCAAAGTTACCGAACTCGTACGAAATAGGTCATAGAATTGGTGGGGTTGGAACAAGAATTCACGCACGGGGACTTTGATTCATCACTATCACGCAGCAGCTTATAGGACCCCTAATGAATTTCTGTCTGTCTTGAGATGGTTTTTCCTGACGACTGGTAACGAAGACGATAGGAAAGACTCAGTTGCAGTGATTTTCTGCCTTCTAACTGCAATATTGCTGAGACAACCGATAGAAATGCCAAGTGGGAATATCTTATTCATTATTCATTATTCATTTTACTCGTGGCCATGAATCCATAGAGGACACACAATACATGATGTATAAACTCGGTTTAAAAAGTTTATTATTAGTTTGAAATACTGTCACTGTGACATCTGAGAAGTCCGTCTCCAATTTAGGACCTTAATTTCTTTGGATTGCTCATTCAATTTAGGACCTTTCAAAAGTTGTTGATTGTGAAATCTTAAAAAGGGGCAGGTAGGACACACTTACACCTAGTTGGCTAGTTATCTCAAGGAGTTTGGGGTAATTTGCGTTTTTCTCGTTAATGTCAGCATGATTCCTGAACATATAGCTTACATGCCAGGATGTTATTATTTGCTCTTTCCTTTTGATCTTTCGGCGTGTATGGAATGCAGGTTGTGGATTTCTCATGTGCTTTTTAGCACCTGGACCTGGACCTAATTTTAGATATTAATTATAAAAGAAAAACTTTAACGAAAAGTTCTCTTCACTTTAACGAAAAATCATATTTTTACTAAAAAGTTAATCTTAATACTATTCACTTTATCCTTTATTTTGTCTTTATCGTTAAAACTCAAAATATTCAAACATTTTTCATTAATTTTTCTTTAAAAAAAAACCATTGATAATAATTTGGGTTTTCATCTCCGTGTGGGTAAAAAAATATCAGGATACTTGAGGGCACTTCTGTCCATCTGTGAAAATGTCCCTTGTCCTTTACAACCTTTGAATTTGTTTATTAAAAAAATGTTGCTTCAACAACCACAAAGTCTTACTTTACTAAGCGCGGTCGACTGTATAGATGCTAAATCCTACTGAGTTTAGTTTTGCGTTCGGTATTCCGTTAGCTTCAAGTACTTTATATCTTTTCTTAAAGTCACTTTCCAAGTCTTTCACGATCTTCTTTGCCCTGAGACTACTTTATAATCGTATTTCTTAACCAGAGATCATGTAAGTCTTCATTTCACATGTTCAAACCATCTTAACCTATTTTTTATCATCACTTTTACTTTTACCCGAATATCCTCATCTTATCTTTTAACTACAACTTTTGAATTTGTTTACTAAAAAAACGTTCACTTCTAGAAACAAAATTAAAAAATGACGAGGGAAGATTCATGAATCGTAAGGAAAGAGGGCTTTAATTATAAAACTGCATAAATTATTTATTAGAAAAAAAAGTAGAATATAATAGTATACTTAGGGGAAAGAAATCTCTTAAAAATATGGGGTTAGGGGGAACAGATTGGTAAGGGACCAGCTGGCTTGAGGAGAACTGATGAGGATCTGGTATTGGGACGCGCAAACACCGTCCTCGCGATCTGCGGCGGGCCCACGACCTATCTAACGGCTATGCACGTAGCCGCTCATTCTAACGCCGCTTATTTAAACACACTATCCGTTGCTCCTTTCAAATCCCGTAGCTCTATGATAAAAAAGCGCGGGTATTTAATTTAAAACAATAACAAACGTAGAATCGAATCTGCAGAGCTTTATCGAAAAGAAAGGAAATAGTGCTTAATTCAACTTTATTGTGCTATTTGATCCTCTCTGGACATTATTGTTTCGAGTATATGGATCATAAAATACTGGTTTTTGGTTTGTGTAGAAGAGAGTTCAGAATCTTTATTTTGAATAAGAAGAGTCAGCGTAATAAGTTAATAAGAACCGTCAGTTTCAATTTAAATGGTCTTGATTGACTAGTCATTATGTTCTGAACAGTAAGATCTAGAGAAGATTTATGCCCTTTATTATGAACAATAAACTTAAGAGTACGGATTGAATATATACTCTTATAAATTAGAAAACAAACAAGATGCAATTGAACACAAAACCTTTGATGCATAATTAAATATTCTTAATCAACTGCGTTGCAATCTGCTCTGAGTAATAGCTTTCACTTTACAAATGTCAATGGCATACGCATGAAGAAAAACTATTTCAACCTTTGTGCGTGGATCCAACCCAAATCTCTTTTTCTTTTCTCCTTTAAGTTGGAAGGATTCAACTGATATATTGGATTTGGTAAATTACATAATGGAGGAAAAACAAGAAGAGTAAAATGGGGGACGGTTTTGTTAGAACCAAAAAGTAATACATACAAAGTCAGAAAGGGCAGAATAATGAAGGATGACGCTTATGTTCATAAAAAAGAAGGATGACGCCAACGGGATGGAGGAAGAAGACTACTAGCTAATACTCACTGATAAAATAATAAATAAATTAACTACCAAATAAATAAAGGGGTGTCGGATTTGTGACATCACTTTTTTTATACAGTTTTGACACAATCTTTTGTGGGACTCACTCCATTATGTATTACAACAATCCGAACAATTTATTTTTAGAACATCATTCATAAATCGTACGTCTTTGCAAAAAATTAGACATATCAAAAATCGCAAAACATTCATTCGTAGTGAAAAAATTAGACGAATACGATTATAAAAAGAAATCCTAAGCCCTTACTCTAATTGTCATATGATTTTAAATTTGGATGTCATAATATTTAAGAGAAGACTTAAAAAAAATGATTCAAATTATTGAAATACATTACAAAATAAATCATACAAAAATTTGTGTAAAAAATATTATAAATCTGCGATGCCACGAATCATCAAGTAAATAAATAAATAAAGGAGAGAAATAGGTAGGATAGAAAGAAGAAAACGTGTATAGGTTAACGATTCTTTGACGGAGTTGCCACTTGGGATAGGTGTAATGTAAACCCTAGATGCCGTGTTCCCTCTTGGGCCTCTTCCATATTATATTTTATTAATACACACCCACTCTCTCTCTAATCTCCATTTTTTAAGAGTGAGATAGAGACAAGGGCACAACCAGTCAACTAAGGTTGAATATTAATTAGTAGGTTGGTTTATGAATGTGCATATGATTTTACTTATAATTACTATATTTCCCATTGGTTTTATGGATTTGATTTAAAATGAATTATTAATATTTTTGTACTGTAACTCAGTATAATAGTATGATGATAGTCATTTTACTTGTAGGTAAGATGTTTTATGTTCAAATTTTGTAGATGACGAATTTGATATCAAGTTCGGTTGCCGATTATGTGGCTTAGTTGAACTCTCACTCTCTATAGAGGCTAAAGAAAAGCTGTGCTACAAGCCTACAACTACTGTCTAGTCAAGCAATTAGCTTAAATTATTATGGTTGTTTCTAGTATGTTTCTGTCTCGTAAATGGCTTTTAATTCAATGCTGAATTCGAAAAAAGTATACATGAAGATAGCCACATCGGTCAGGACGAATAAGCGCACGAGGGCGTCTATATACATCCGAATTCGAACTCTCTCCCGTAGTTTTAGTTAAAGGTCCGCTTGACATTCTGCCAGGAGCAAAAATAAATAAATAAATAATCATCAAAGGGGCACCACTGTAAATAAGAACCAATACCAATGTCATTTGTTGGCAACTGTTATAAGTTCTTAACTGAGGTTTAGTCCTTGTCTAGTTTGCTTTGTCCATTCTCTCTCCTTCTCTCTCTCTCTCTCTCTCTCTCTCTCTCTCGGCTCACTGGTGAAGAGAATCAACAAACAAAACGCAAACACAGATCAAGAAATTTAAAATTGAAATACAAAGATTATTAAGGAGCTGAATCAGGAAGCATTGAACTTTGAAGAGAAGCAACAAAGAAATAGTGAGAGTGAAAAGCTTCTTGTTTGGGCAGCAATGGCTAGTCTGCACAGTTTCTCTCTCCTCCTCCTGATCTGCGCCTCAATATTGGCGGTGGGTTCGTCAAGTGAGGACCACCACCACCTCTCCTGGATACCCGCCGCCGCCTCCAAGTCAGCCTGCAAGGGCTCCATAGCCGACTGCGCCTTAGCTGCAGGGAACGATGAGGTGGAGTTTGACATGGACTCAGAGATCAGCCGTCGCATCTTAGCCACCAGCAACTACATCAGCTACGGTGCGCTGCAGAGGAACACCGTGCCTTGCTCCAGGCGCGGCGCCTCCTACTACAATTGCCAGCCCGGGGCCCAGTCCAACCCCTACAGCCGCGGCTGCAGCGCCATCACGAGGTGCAGGAGTTAATTTTTAACCTTTTTTTGTTTTTTTTATTTTGGTTCATTTGGAATTGGAGGGGATGTGTCATTGTTTTTTTTATTAATTAATGGAAATATGGATGTTATCAGATCATATTTTGCAATGTCTCTTGTAAAACTGAACAATTTGGTATCTTTTTCTTCAAATTTTATAGATTTTGGCTATCGAATGAACCCTTATTGATATATTAGTCACTCTTGGAGGGAGATGTGGTGAACAATTTAAGCTCTAATTAGTTTTCTAGAGTACCATATGGTTTAGATAGTCTCGCTATGGAACGAACGTTCTGCACAAAAAATTTGAGACGATTTAGATTGAAGTTAGTTGTCAAACACAATGTTGCTTGATTATCCCCCCCCCCCTCCTCACATTTTTCATGTCCAACAAATCCTTATCTCGATAGAAAATTATTCAAGATGATGGATCATATTTGTTCATAAAAGTTTGCATCTTTTGGGGACTTTGTGTTTGATTGGATGTAGTGCTAAGAGTGTTAGTACTCATTTAGAAACAACATGATCCTCTCCGGATCTTTTTGGCGAAGATTTTAGGAATTTGTGAATTATGTCTGTTCATCGTATATCGTACGATCAGTTTTTATCAAGTACTGTTTGTATTTAATTTTAAATAAAAGTATTTAAAATGATTTCTGATCGTACGATGTACGATGAACGGACACAATTCACGGATCTCTGAGATCCTCACAAAGAGGATCCGGCCTGGATTCCATTTATAAATGCTTTTAAGATGACTGAAAGTATTTATAAAAAAAAATGTTTTGGGTTTCAAATGTTCTTAAGATGATTGAAACATCAGTTATAAACTTCGTTTAGAAAGTGCTTTCAGTCATTCTAAAAGCAATTTCGAACTAATCTTAATTATAGAGAAATTCTCTTTTCAATGTCACTGCTGACTTCTCCTTTTGTTCTCAAACAAGAAAAAGGAAAACCAAAGAATGGGGGCTTATATTGAGACAAAAACCAAAGCAAGTGACAAAGTAAATTTGCAAAAGGTATAAAAATTCATATATAGGTTCAATCTAATGGTGGAGAATTTTTTTTGTTTTCTGTTTGCCTCTGGTCCCTTTTGCAGGATCTCTTTTGATTTAAAGTTGTTTTTATGAAGTATTAATAACTTGATATTGCACACTGTTTTTCCTTATTCTTTCGAGTTCTTTGCTTTGAATGGTATTCAAATATCAGCGCATGATAGGTTTGAAATACTTCCACAAAGTTCTCAAATTTCATACATGGATTGCATAAGCTCTTTCGATTCAAACTTACCAACCAGAACGTTGGAGATATCTCAAGCAAATCATGTACTACTATTTGTTGTAGTTTTATTTCTTTACGATGTGTTGTTGACTTGAAATATCATCACTTTAGAGTTATCTTTAACTGCATTGACAAAGTAGATTCTGTACTTGAGTACAAGGTCTACAATCTTGTCCAACCAATAATAATGGTCTCATAACTCATAAGTCAGAAGGTCATAGTTGCACCTATCTGTTAATTTGAAGCTGCAGATTAAATTCTTCCAAGTAAGTGTATGAAAGCAATTGAAAATTTTAGCTTAATTGTTATGGGAGCTATGTCATCAAAAGATGATATGATCCCCATGATTTAAAATTTATGTTTTGTAGGTGTGTGTGGTGTTCTGTTGGGTTGTGAAATGATTTTAGGTCCTCCATCACATCCCTCACCAATAGGTAAAAATTTTCAGTGTGTTTGGAACATTGTCCGGCACACTAAGTGTTATAATATAAGTGGTGAAATTTTTTTTATCGAGTATTTAACCACTTGTGTTATAACACTTGTATATCAAACCGTGTCCCAACACACTACAAAAGCCTCCAATAGGACAAATGATATCTTTTTTTCACCTGTTCACGGTGGAAAAAGGGGATTCTTTTGGGACAAATTGAACAGAACAAGTCTCCAAAGTTTTATTTTGAATTGTAAATGAAATGGTAAATAGGTTTTTTTTGTTTTAGTTACACCTATACCCAACTTATGACATATTTACGTACTTGAAATGAGGAAGCTTTGAATTGAGAAATTAAAGAATATAAGAGAGAATGAACGAGAATAAAATCAACTACTCTTCCGAATCAATTTATTACATGGGTTTTCAAGTTTTGAATTACAGACCGTAGGCATGCTTTTTCAAAAAGTAAAAATGAAAACAATTTGTGGGTGTTAACCCGCGTTTTTTTGTCAAAAATACAATTTTTTTATTTTAGCGAAATATTTTCCGTGACCATTAAGGAAATTTGTAACGCATTTGGAAACGGTTTGATAACTTATTGAGCAACAATTGTATATTTAGTTGAATATTTAAACCGAAAACAAAAAAAAAATGAAAAATATAGTAGTGAGTCCCAAAACGTTGTCAAAAAGGGGTTCCACCCTCAAGAATACCAATGGAAAGTCTTACATTAATTTTCAAAACTTCACGGTGAGGCGAAGGTAAAAATAAATATATTGAAGATGATTTAGTACGATCATGAGTGTTAACAAACAATTTTTTTTTTGTCAAAAATACAAATTATTTATTTTTGTGAAATATTTTATTGATCGTTAAGGAAATCTTTATAAGGCATTTGGAAGTGAATTTATGATTTTTTTTTCTTTATTTGTCAAAGAAGTGGATTTATGATTGATTGAGCAACAAATGTATATTTAATAGAATATTTAAGTCAAAAACTAAAAAAAAATACGTGAAAAATATAGTAATGAGGCCCAAAACATTGTCAAATAGGGTTTTACCCTCAAGAATCTCAACGCAAAGTTTTACCTTAATTTTCAAAACTTCACAATAAGGCGAAGGTGAAAATAAATAGATTGAACAATGATTAAAGTACGACTGGCGAGAATTGGTAGCATGGTACTGATCTTTCCCTAAGACTATTTGAGACTATTCTGCTATCGACATAATGATACAATATCAGCCATATCGAAAATGTATTTAATAGTTCTTCATTTAAAACATTGTCTATATTGCTACTTAGTACTACTGTGTGATATTCCTTTTTACTTGCAAATAAGAGATTTTCGGTTTAATTCTCGCCAAAGGCGAATTTGTATTACATTATTGCTAGCATTATTGTGAGACTAAGTTTATCATCTTCTTCTATAATGTAGATAATATCGTTTGTTAAAAAAAAAGAAAAAAAAAAGTCTATATTCATATAATTTGGGCCTCATATTATATTGAACCTTGAAACCTAATCCACCTTGACTCAGTGGGCCATAAAGTAAGTTCCAAGAACCTTCTCGAAGTCGCCCCACCGCCGAAACATCCAAAACGTCCTTCTTCCCGTCTCCGTTATCCATCACACGAAAAACCAAAAAATCCCCTCACGGCGTTCCCGTTAACGGTGTTAGTTCCCGCTTCGTATTCGCCAAGTAGTCAACGGCGCAACGTTGACGCCAAACATAACCAACTTTCACGCGGAGTTGGATGTTGGTTGGCTTCGCCACCGATCATTTCTTAAGCGCTAAGAATCAATATTCGGTTTTCTTCCTCCTATAAAACCCTAGTCATCGTCCTCCAAATCTCCAACAAAATTACAGCGAAACCCAATCATTACCTTCAATTTTCAGTTCCAACCAACGAGAAAGAAAAGTATTCGGTTATGGCCCAGGAAGATTTGAGCGTGCAGGTGCAGCAACAGATGGTATGGACCATCAAAATTCTCTTCTTCCTTTTTTTTTTTTTGGTTATGTTATTTCTTTTTTGGTTTTTGGTAGAGATTTGTAGTGTTTGGATTGCCCAGAAAATTTTGGAATTGAAAACATCTTGGGGTTTTGAGATATGATTTTGAGAAATACCCAAGTTCTGAAATTTCCCCTTTTGTCGTTGTAAGCAATTTCTTTGTTCATTTTTGGTAGAGTTTGATAGTGTTTGGCTACACAGAAAATTTTGGAATTTATAATATCATGGGGTTGGGTTTTAAGAAATAACCATGTTTTGTAATTTCTTCGTTCATTTTTTTGGAGTTTGACAGTGTTTGGCTGCCCAGAAATTTGATTGTGGTAAAAGTATTTAGGCTGAGTAGCAGTTGCCATAAACCTTTATGATATTGCTTTGTTCATTTGTGATTGGGATTGGGAGTGTTTGGCTGCCTAGAAAGTTTGGAACAGAAAATATATGCGGATTTTAAGAAATAGTGAATTACCCAAGTTTTGTAATTTGCTCCCTTTGTTCTTATCAATTTCTTAAATAGATAAACAAAGAATTATGTGTTAGTATTTATTGATATGTGTTTGTAATTTTTTAGACTGCGGAGGAGGAACAGAGGCTCAAGTACCTCCAATTTGTTCAAGTGGCTGCAGCTTATGCCGAGGTTTGCTTCACAAACCTTTACGGTTATGGCAAGGAAAGGTCAGGGCCCTTGAAGCCTGGCGTTGAGTCCGTGGAGGGAACAGTGAAGACCGTTGTTGGACCTGTCTACAACAAGTACCATGATATCCCTGCTCACCTCCTCACCTTTGTGGATCGCAAGGTACTTATGATTTTTTCATGTTTCAAGGCTTTTTTGGCGCTATTGTGGCGCTTGAGTTATGTTGGAATTCTTGAACCCAAGAGTTAAGAATAACAATGTTCTTCATTACCTAGAATAGAATAACCACGTAGATACTGAGGTGCTTTTATAAAAAAGTGAGTATAAAAAAAGTTGAGCTCAAAAAGGTGTTTGGTAAACACTTAAAAATAGTTTATTTTCACAATTTTGGGTGAAAAAAAACTGAAAATGTGAAGCAGCAAAAATGAGTTTATTCTCACAGCACAACAGAAGCAATTTTTTTTCAAAGCACAACAATACCAAACCAGCCCGAAAAGTGTTAATTGTATGGATGTGATCCTCATCGTGCATCTTGATCAATTGCATCGTGTCTTTGTAGATTTCAATGTGTCTTATGTTATTCGGATTATTGTGTGGCGCATTCAGTTGTATTGAGTTAATCCAAGTCGGGCTGAGGCATCTGCGTTTTGTTCCTTGATAGGATCAATGGTTGCATCTAATTTTCAGTTTCATACTAGCTTTAGTTAGATTGGTGGTTGTTTTACAAATGTGCGAAGCTTCGTTGTGCAAGTTGCTAATTATGTTGGAATATCTTCAGGTTGATTTGTCTGTTACCAAGCTGGACAGCCGTGTGCCACCAGTGGTTAAGCAGGCCTCATCCAAAGCTCTGTCCGCCGCTCAAAAGGCCCCAGAGGCAGCACGAGTGGTTGCCTCTGAGCTTAAGCGTGCCGGGGTTGTAGACACAGCCTCGAGCTGTGCTAAGTCTGTCTACTCTATGTGCGAACCCACGGCCAAAGACTTGTATGCTAAGTACGAACCAAAAGCCGAGCAGTGTGCTGTTTCTGCATGGCGAAAGGTGAATCAAGTCCTCCCAAAGGCGGTTGATGTTGTTGTACCAACCGCAGCATATTGTTCCGAAAAGTACAACCAGACCGTGCAGAGCACTGCGGAGAAGGGCTACCGGGTCTCCTCCTACCTGCCCTTGGTTCCCACAGAGAAAATCGCCATGGTTTTCGCAGAGAAAGCGCCCGAAGCAGAGCCTTTGGTTGCAAGCCACGGTGAAGCTGATGTTGCCATTCATTGATGGATTTTCAGGGTTGATTATGTTCTACCCTTCGGGTTTGTGATTTTATGTAAGAATTTGGGCCATCCTTTAGGCATGGTTTTTTACTCTCTGTCAAATATTGAATATGTATTACATGTTTACTAATTAGAAAATACATTATTTTTTGTATAAGATGTCACTAGTACTCAAAAAATAGTTATTCTGCATTAATATAAGTGCAGGTTACTTAAAATAACGTTAACTTCCAACAAATTTTCTTGAAAATTTATAACTCGAGGCGATTGATCCAAACATAATTCTGATTAGTAGGCTATTGATCCTTGACCCAGAAATGTAATGTCTAGATTTGGTTTGTAATCACCAACATAATGGTAAACTATAACATTTTAAAAAATTTATATGTTCGGATGATTCATTGAAACGCAACTTTGTTCAAGAGAAACTATAATCTTTCTTTTTCTTTTATTTGATTGAGAATTCGAACTTAAACCCCTTCTAACAATATGAAAAAAGAACAATTTCACTCGACTAACAAACTCGTTTGGAAGTGCTCATAAAATGACTGAAAATGCTTATGGTGAAAATGTTTTTGAGACCAACATTTAGTAAACACACGAGTAAATCTTGAAAAAACACTTTATGTCCTTTAGAATCCAAAAATATTTTGTTTAAAAGTACTTTTGAATCATTTTAAAAACACTTTTAAACAATCATTAATCTGTGCATTAGCCACGCAATCTCTAAGGTGAAAAATGCACGTCAAAAAGCATGTGAGGTGTTCATGGTGCCAAGTATTTTTCTTTTTGGGCCATTTTGTGGGCTCTAAAAGAACTCAACAGTCAACACCAAATTTGTCTGGGCCTGAAAGGGACCCACAAGGCCACAACAACATCCCCCCAACTTCTTCTTCTCCACAGTTCCCATCTCAACCCGAAGCTTCAAGCCCTTCTTCCTTCAACTTCAACGAACCCATCTCAAAACTTTCACTTCAGTTTCTTCACCAAGTTCCTGCAGAGAAAACCCAGAAAAGTACTCTAATGGCGAGCAGTTTGCAGCTGCCAATCTCCATATCGTCAGCTTCTACGTCGTCGTTTAGACCCAGAAATGCTCGGAAGTTCACAGCTTTTTGTTCCGTTAACGCGAAAGCAACGGCCAAAATCCCGATTCCTCCGATAAACCCCAAGGACCCCTTTCTTTCGAGGCTCGCTGCGGTGGCTGCCAAGTCCCCGGAAACCTTGCTGAACCGGCCGCCTCAAAATTCCGACTCTCTCCCGTACTTGGATGTGTTTGATGAACCTATTCTCATGGCCACTCCTGCCCAAGTACCTCTCTCTCTCTCTCTCTCTCTCTCTCTAAGTTTTTACTTAAAGTATGAATTGTTTATGTTTTTGAAGGATTGAAGTGAAATTTATAGATTAATTTGATGGGTACCATTGATATTATGGAAAGAATCTTAGTTTTGTATTGGTTAAGCAGGTTTTTGTTCAAAAATTTTAATTTTCAATTAGTTATTTGCATAGGTTTTAATGATATGGTAGTGCTAGTAGAATTTTCAGGTTTTTTCACTGTAAATTTGACTTGTTATTCTGCTTGAACTAGGTGGAAAGATCGGTTTCTTACAACGAGCATAGGCCCAGGAAGCCACCTCCAGACCTGCCCTCATTGTTACTCCACGGAAGAATAGTTTATATTGGCATGCCTGTAAGTTTTTAATCCAATATTTATGTTGTTGTAGATGCCATCTTATGGAAGTATCAAATTCTGCTGTGTTTTCATACTTATCGTGTTATTGGGGTGATAGTTGGGAGGCCAGAGCATGTCTTCGGGGATGAGATGCAAAATCAAAATGGGGAAGTGTTTTTCTTGGTAAAGTAGTGGTTCCGAGTGTATGCGTTGAGGGTGTTCTCGGGGTAATTCAAAAGGGGAAGATATGACTAAACTATTCATAATAGGTTTCAATCAATCTTATTGTCACTTTGTTCGTGCATTTTGTGAAATCTGTTGAAAATTGCTCTTATGTTTCAGTTAGTGCCAGCAGTAACAGAGCTTATTGTTGCGGAATTGATGTATCTGCAATGGATGGATCCTAAACAACCAATATATATTTATATTAATTCGACGGGAACCACTCGTGATGATGGTGAAACCGTAAGTCTGGTGTTTCTGTTCAAAGTAAGATGCATATGAAATGATGTCCCTACCAATTATCTATATCAATGTATTCCAAATGCTTATTTTTCAGGTTGGCATGGAGTCAGAGGGATTTGCTATCTATGATGCTATGATGCAGTTGAAAAATGAGGTGATTCTCTTTAAGAATTGTTGTACTTTGCATAATTATTTGCTCTAACTTGGTGGTGGCCATGATGTTAGTGTTTTGGGTGTGGGTTTGGAGCTACTTGGGGTGTTTCTTGTTAAGTTGGAGATAATGCCATATGCAAGTGGTGGCACCATAGCAGTGGTGCGATGTGATGCTTTACTAATTGGTGCTTGTGGTGATTATTTGGTGGTGAAAAAGTTGGGATGCAGTGAAAGTGAAAATTGTGGGGATGGTTTATAAATTCTATGTAGTAGTGTATATTGAGTTTTATATGCAGATTTATTGATTTTTTTATGTTCCTCTTCCTACTCTCCGAACTACATGTGCGAAGGGATTTGGACATTGGAAAGTAGGGAAATGATTTGCTTTTGGTTATGATATGAATGTTGTACGTTTTACCTTATTACATACTTGTTCTTGCTTATTCAGATACATACAGTCGCCGTTGGGGCTGCTATAGGTCAAGCTTGTCTATTGCTTTCAGCAGGAACCGAAGGCAAACGATTTATGATGCCACATGCCAAAGGTATGACGCATTTGTTTCCAAAAAAAAAAAAAAAAAGGTATGACGCATTTTTCTTTAAAAGGTTGCAATCTCAGATCTTTAAAACTTTCATTAATTTCCTTCAATCCTGCTTCAGCAATGATCCAGCAACCTCGTGTCCCATCATCTGGACTGATGCCTGCTAGTGACGTTCTTATTCGTGCAAAAGAGGTGAATTCCTCTTTCATTTATTTCCACCATTTAATTGTTCTAGTCCTAATCACATATTTGTGCATCGCCTCTTTATCTTGGCCTCTGAACTTATTTGGAGGATTCAAAATAGAAGGGTTTCTTTCATTCACATCTATTTTATCTTTTCATTATGCAAAATATAATGATAGAAACTTTGTCGGGGGCTGTGAATTAAGCTTTCATTTCATTTATACTGTAACAATCTTTTGAATTTAATTTATTCTGTGCATTTTGTGGAAACATTGACATTGTGTGAAGTACTTTGCAGGTAATCACAAATAGGGACATTCTCGTAAAGCTTCTGGCCAAACACACAGGAAATGTAAGCTTTATTTATAAGATTTAATCAGTGTACGAGCAAAAAGTAGGGAACTTATGCTATCGTGTTATTTTGTATTAGTCAGAGGAGGCTGTTGCTAAGGTGATGAGAAGACCATTTTATATGGATTCTACAACTGCTAAACAATTCGGGGTGATTGACAAGGTAAGTCCTTTGACATAGTCTTCATGTACCCTTTTTCTTCAATATTTGTGGAAAGTTGACTGTTCTAGGGCGGCAATACCTGGTGCAGATCCTTTGGCGTGGTCAAGAAAAGATAATGGCAGATGTAGCCTCCCCTGAGGAATGGGATAAGACAGCTGGCGTCAAAGTTGTAGATGAACTTGGTGGTCTGTAAGGGAAGCAATGTGGTCATTATAGGTGAGTTAACCTTTTCTTCAGTATTTAACAACTGTCAGTCATGGCTCAGTAATAATTAGGTGCACGGGCATGGCAGGTCAATCAGTGTTTATTTTAAGTGGGAGATTAGTATACGTTGTAGAGTTTCTCCATTTGTTTAGGGGTAATGGTATGAAGTTATGAACGTCCATGTATTGATTAGAAACCTGAGTCACGATTAGAAGAATGTTGTATTTAATATTTATGCATACATTTTTCTGGGTGTGATCCGAACAGAATTTCCACAGCAGAGATTATACGACAGGCGCAGGCTACAAAGCCATTACCTAGTTGTATCTGGGTATGATTGTTGACGAGATATGCATGGCAGGCTGTTTTGCATTTGAATAAAACGACATGAACAACAGATTAAAGCATGGTTAGAATAGAAAGTTGCAAGACACAGTGCAGATTGTTTTGGTTCCTGTATGTTCATAATGTTTATGGTAGCAAGATCCTTTCGGGTAGATTTCTGATCGGAATGCTTTTCTTGTTGTAGGAGTTATCACATGGATACTGTAGGAGTTTTTACATGGTTGGTTGCTTGTCAGGGGCTCTTAGGTTATGGGTCGAAGCATTAATGTAAAGAGCGCTAAATTGTCTAGCGGGGAGTTTAAAGATGGAAGGAACCAGACAGCGACCTGTTTACGTGCAAGGTTTGGATGGAAGAGATTGAACAGTGATGCCAAATTGAATTGCCTCCAGAACAAATCTGAAGGGTGCAAAAAACATGTACTTTTTGAGAGTTGAAGAATGACGACACTTTCTTATGTTCTATATTATCTTGGTTAAGTTTTTTGCAGGACGGAATGAATCCTCGTCTTTTTTTTCCCTATCAAAAAGAAGAAAGCTGAGTTTTTATGTTTGATGTCTTGATGATGGATGACCTAGTGTTCAAGTGAAAAATTCGACGGACAAAACGCTTGGCAATCCAATTTGTGCCGTGTATAATGTGTCACGTCCAAACGAAGTTTCACATCGAAGAAACTTACGATGGTGAAAATTTGAAGTTATACAAACCAAAGTCTTTTCGATGTGAAACTTCCTGTTAAATTTGTTTTGTTTCTCAAAGAAATGGCAACATTTTTCAAACTTCTGGAAGACATGGTGGTGGAAATCCTGTTGAGGCTGCCTCCGAAATCTCTTATGCGATTCAAATGCGTTCAGAAGTCGTGGCACAATTTGATCAATAGCCCTAGCTTCGTGGCCATGCAGCTTTCCAATTCCTTGACGTCCAGTATCATCGTCAAGCATACTGTCCTCAACAACACGAACATTACCGGTGCGCGGGAAATACGAAATACGATTACCCTCGGCGACACATGCAGTAACGAGTAGGAAATCAGATGACGATGATGGAGTAGATAGGGATCAATGTCGTCGGATGTGGCTATGATAG